TTGGTCAAAATAAGCTTATTTCCCCATATGAGGTGATTTTGGATTTTATTGTGTACTAATTATTTGCGCTGTCTATATTTCTGAGATGAGGTATTATGTACACTATTTACATTATTCGGACTATTGTCCTCATCTTTGTTGCCATATTTATTATGACGTTTCAGCCGTTGTACACTCCAGCCTTCTTTAGGTGGTTGGAATGTCAAACTGAACCCTTTATTTCGCTCACTGGGGTAGACTGTTCTAGTTTCACGTGCCATGTTTAATGGATGTCAGTTATCTCCTGTTAATTTCCCTCTGAAAGTTCTCCACTGCCTTAACCAGGTATTGAACTCACACTCTTTGGGTCATGTCACTGGATCTAACTAACACCTTTATCCACTGTGCCATGTGTCCTTGAGGCTGAAACATTGTGATAAACATGGTGACAAAATGAGGACAATAGTCTGAATAATATAAATAGTGTACATAATACCTCATCTCAGATATATATATATATATATATATATATATATATATATATATATATATATATGAAAAGTGAATATAAATATAAATAAATATATATATATATGTATAATTATTTATATATTATATGCACGGTACTTATTAGAAAGCTCAATATCAGAGATTGAGCTAACATATTTGGTTGGATAGTTTCACGCTTTAGATCGCTAAAAGCGTGAAACCCAGGGTCACAAACTCACATCTATCCAATCCAAATATATATATATATATATATAATATATATATATATATATATATATATATATATATATATTATTCATAAAATAATATTTATTCAATATAGCCATGGAACTTGGCATTGGAAATAATACCAACAGTCTTGGGTCCTGTCACTGGATCTAACTAATGCCTTTATCCACAAAGTTAGTTAGATCCAGTGACAGGACCCACACAGTGGATATCAGTTATCTCCTCAAGGACACATGGAAAATTTTATGTGATAAAAGTACATTTAAAATAATAAAAAAAAAACAGAAAGGGTTAATATAGTTATATAACTGCAGATTCGATTTAAGAACATTATCATTGATAACTCTCTTCCCCAATTTGCAGAGCCTAGTTACTATATTCTTAATACTTGATATAATGCAAAAATATCACAATGATAAAAATTGGTTAATAATTATTTATAACTATTTATATTGGGATTCATGAATGCAATTGCAATTAATCTATAATAATATTTTAAATTTTGAAATCATATTTATTTTTTGCATATGAAATTTTTTCAAACTGTTTCGAAGTCTTTGATTGTCTTTCAATTATTCCACCTCACCGGCTATCCTCTTCCACTGCACCTATGAGGCACGCTGCACCATTTTGGAACCACTACTCTAAAAGAAGTCCTTGTCTGGCTGGTGAGCAGAAGCACATGCATGGAGCATTTATTAGTGAATCTGACTTAAAGTAGTTTACTGGCCTTTATTAACTTATTACCCTATTGCATATGTGAATCACGTCACCATTATTAGTGTGGAAAGTGAAATTTTGTTCACTCATCATTAACACTCTTTCCATGGAAAGTGCTCAGATGAAATACATTCCTTGGTTTTGCCATATCTAACCTTCAGGGCTAGGACCTGCCATGCCACACCCATTGTAGCACACCACCCACATTCCCTTCATATTCTATCAGTAAGTAGTAAGTTCCACTCAAACAGATTCTTTCCATGAACCACTGCTCTGTGGAATAGATTCCCAAGACGATGTTTCCTTGGTCACTACTATCTTAACCTGTTCAAGTCTAGAGTTAAGTGTTATCTTCCCATCCTATCCATATAAACTGCCCTCTATCTTGAGTGTCCCCCAGGCCTTGTACCAGGTGAACCTTACTGTAAAAAAAAAATAAATAAAATAAAGATGTTGATGTTCCACAGTACTGCAATTAAAAGGTTATGGTTGAAGACCCCCCGCCAATCAATAAATGAAAGTGCGATAAAAGCTACTGAACTTGAGAAAGCTTTCTTCCTGAAAAATTGTTTTAAGAGAAAGATTTTATAAATTTCAACTGAAAGCAGCACTGGCTACTCAGTCAATGGAACACTGATTGTTCAGAACTTCTGGTATATGTAGAGAATATCAGAAAATTTAACATCAGTTTTCTAAGAGAGATTCTTGACCTGAAATCTGAACATTCTCTACTATTTTTAATTGGAAAATAAAATATCCTGAAGCCCTTTTATAAAGGATTTTCTTTGTTTTCAATACAAGCTTGTTGTATATACTATAAAATGTTATTCAGATATACACCCTTGTGCAAATTAAATGAAACAACTGCTTTAGTTTCCTTTCTTTCACAATATGGTCAGTTTTAGACCTACTGGAGTGACAGGGTGTAATTGATTTCTATTTTTTCTTCAGATTAGGTAATTTGCAGTGGTGTGCAGTAATATGAATCTATTTTCAGGGTGTATGATGAAATTTCTTTGGCCTTGAAAAATATTGCATCATCCGTGATAGCATCTGATTTTTATTCTACCCAAACACTATTATCTCGACTGTCAATTAGTTGTCCTATGGCCATTGTCTGCAGTGGATGTTACTCCAAGGAAATTTACAAAAATTATAACGTTGCACGAACAGACTGGCAGGCCTTTCCAGTGAGCAAATCAAAGTTCTATAGACTGGCCCAGAAACTCTCCTGATTTAAATCTAATCGAGAATCTGTGGTCAGTCTGCAAGGAACGACTTCATGGAATGGATATACAAAGTACTAACATGTGAATTGGGTCATGTTTCATTGGAAAAATACAAAAAAGAGTAAATAATAACGGAATTATTCATTTTGTTTCAATTAATTTGCACAATGGTACCTGTGAGTGAAAACTTTAAAATATTCTGGCCAGACCATCAAAATTTAATTTGCTTAATAAAATAGTTTAATTTTCCTCTTTTTTTTTTTAATATACTAATGCTGAACCAAGGCCTAAGAGCCACTCAAGGTAGAGGGTTACTGAATGAAGTTATTGTATAAGTGATAACAGGTAAGAAGTGCAGTTGATGAGGATATGTAGTAAAGATAACGGTTAATTAGGCTTGAAAAGGTTAAAAGATTGTAATGATTGTGAAACATCGACTTGGGAGTCTGTTCCACAAAGTAGAACTTCCTGGGAAGTATCTGTTCAAATGGAACTTCCTTCTTGCTAATGGAATATGAAAGGAATAGGAATGGTTTGTCACAATGTATATGGCATGGCTGATCTTAGCTGAAAATAACTTGTGAAACTTAGGAATGTAGCTCATCAGAACATGGGCTGAGGAAATAGTGATTGGAAAATCATCCTCTTGGGAATTTGTTCCACAAAGTAGCTGTTCTTGGGAAGAAACTGTCTGAATGGAACTTAATTCTTATGAAGGGAGTGGGGAAGGTTAGAACTAGCTCTACATTTTCTTTGTAAATAGCAATAGTGTAGCAATTTTGATTGTTGAATAACAAATTAATAAACTAAACGTCTATTTCCATTTGCCATATCTCTGTACATACATCATGTTACAGCTTACGAAAATAGGCCAACACTTGGTCACTTTTTCTTTTTATTTCCCTGTCTAGACACCAGACAAGGTCAAACTGTGAGGTATTCACCAGACAGTCCTATAAAATATTAAGTTATGCTGACTTTTTCTCACTCATAAAAGGTGTTAAGCTTTTAATGCTGAGCAAAGTCTCTGTCTGGTTAGGCTAATTCAAAATTTTGAAACACGACTGTAGACTATAAAAAAAAGACTAATAAATGAATGGAAATAAGTTTGAATTACTCGGTTTCTGTGATATCTTTCAATCTTAGTGTAAATATACAGTGTAGCCGATATGACCTAACTTAATTTTTTTGTCTCATTCTTCATTGTTAAGCTGTTCTGTATGTGCCATGTCTTTTTAGAATGGGGGAGGATCATGGCTCTCCACAGGTTGCTGTCAACACCACTTGCTTCTTTAAGATCAGCTCTTTGTCTTGTTCCCCCATCTATGTGCTGTGTCTCTTCAGGACATTGGCAATCATGGCTTTCTATAACTTCCTAGGGTTCATAGAGGACACACATCTATAACACACTCATAACCCCTACTAAAGAGCAAGAGCCCCAATGTAAATGACATGCCAAGAAAAGTACACAGTAGTCCATATATTGACAACATGTAAGAACCTGTAACCTGTATTTTTGCTGGGTTTTTTTTTCACATTTTTTTTTTTTTTTTTTTTTTTTTCACATTTTTTTTTTTTTTCCACATTTTTTCTGGGTTTTTTTTTTCACATTTTTTTCTGGGTTTTTTTTTCACATTTTTTTCTGGTTTTTTTTTTTTCACATTTTTTTCTGGGTTTTTTTTTTCACATTTTTTCTGTTTTTTTTTTTTTTTTTGTTTTTTTTTTTTTTTTTCACATTTTTTTCTGTTTTTTTCCCCGCATTCTTTTCTGTTTTTTTCCCCGCATTCTTTTCTGTTTTGCCCACATTCCCCCCCACACACACACATTTTTCCTTTTTTTCCACGCACATTTTTTTTTTTTTTCACATTTTTCTTTTTCTGTTTTCACATTTTTTCTGGGTGTTTTCTCCCACATGTTCCCCAACACCTTTTTTCTATCCCCCCACACTTTTTTTCTGTTTTTCGCCCCACCTATTTTTTTCTTCCTTCCCCACATTTTTTTCTGTCCCCCTCCCAACATTTTTTTTTCTCTCCTCCCCCACACACATTTTTCTTTTTTTTTTTTTTATGTTTTCCCCCACCTATTTTTCTGGGTTATTTTTTTTTTTTTTTCCCCACATTTTTTTCTGGGTTTTGGGGGTGGGGGTTTGTCTTTTTCCACATTTTTTATTGTTTTTTTAGTTTTTCACATTTTTTTTCAGTTTCCCCCATGCCTTTTCTGTATTTCCTGTGCCTTTTCTTTTTTTCCAATGCTTTTTCTCACACTTTATCCTCCCACTTTTTTTTTCATTTTTCATTTTTCATTTTTTTTTTTTTTTTTTTTTTTTTTTTTTAGGTAAACATTCAGAACAGTGATGGCAACACACCAATCCATATTGCCTGTCAGTGTGATTGTGATAATAGAGTTCTTGTAATGTTGAAGCTGTTGTCGGTAAGATTTTTTACTTAGTTCTCAGTGTTAATTTCTTCAAAGTGATTTAATATTAACTCACATTAAAAACATTTTACCATTTTAAATATGTCCACTGGGTTTAAGATTAAAATTGTAATCTATTGACAATATCTTCAATTCCTGTTTTTAAAAAGTTGCATCATTTTATTTTCTTTATTTTCATAACATGAAAATGAAGCTCATTTTTTCGTTTTTTTCATTTTAAGTAACTAAAAAAAAACTCCGTAAACTGGAAATCATACATTTGTCAGTTGGTAGTATTAGACAACTGTAAACCAGAAAGATGGTTTGATTACAATAAAATATTATGTTGTTTATATCAGTAAAAATCATTTTGTTTTTTGCATAAATATTTTTGAACTGGAGAATTTGGCTTTCCTAAACATATCAACTTTGCTAGAAATAGAAAAGAGTTCAAATTCAATTGCTGGTTAATATGAATAAAAAATGTTACTTTTTTTTTAATTTTTTAAAATATTTAAAAAGGTACTTTTAAAAAATTTAAAATATAGGATATATATATAAATATATATATATATATATATATATATATATATATATATATATATATATATAATTAAGAAAGAGAAAGAACAGGTGGAGTTAGAATCCACAGTTCTTAGCATTTACTTATTAAAAAGTGCTCCATACAAATGTAGAGCAAAATATAATATTATTAAAATATTTTTATTATAATAGATTACAATAAAAACATTTTGCATCACTATTTCACCAAATCTGAACTTTGGATTTCGCTACATTATGTTCAATGCTGACATGAATTTATATCCCACCTCCCTCTGCCCTCTGACCTTATTTTTCATTTTTTTATTTTAGCATATATCTGACTTTTAATTGGTTAATTAATTCAGACATGCCCACAGGTATGTTTTACTTCTGACATTAGGCTTCTCCACTTTTTAACTTTCAAAAGAGGTAACAACTTGTTTTCAAATTTCCAAAATAAATCATTTGTATTACATGTTACCTACCATCGCCCAATAAGGAACGATTAAAGTTCCGAAACATGAATGTTTTTGTGTAACGATGTAAAATAATTTTATTGTAATCTATTATAATTAAAATATTTTAATATATAATCAGTTATGGTAGTAAAGAAAGATTGTCTGCATCTGACTCTTATAACATGTAGATATAGTAGGCCAATGAAAGGAATTTGAGAGATAAAAAAAAATATTTATTGTATATTATTAGGCCTCAATTCTTGGTCCGAGAAATGGTGAAGGAGTTATTGGCTTTCTGTTGAAGCTTAAATAAGCATGGAATAATACAACACAAAATGTACGTTAACAAAATGTATTGAAATAAAGAATAGGTACACAATATTTACAGTTAGTTTGAATATTTTGGGAAGACTGTTCCTGCATAATGGGTTGAAAAAATCGCAGTCGGGCAGATTGGATTCAATTTATTAGGCCTACTATCTTTCTTGGTCAACCCATATTTATATGGTGGTAGTCCGCTTATGTAAATTAGGTGTATCATACACAACACTTTCTTATCTTTTAATGACCCTTGTGTGTTCTTAGATCTATATCCATTTTTTGTGTTTTTTGTCAACATGCATATTTATACGTATATTCCCTCTCCATACATACATGCTGTCTTGTTACGAGAAATTAATAAACACATTTGTACACACATGTATGCACACACATATACACACTCACATATATGCACTTCCAATGTTGTGTAGTGTTCACGTGTGTGTCCGTGAGCAGTTTTGTTTTTGCCAATATATATGTTTGTGTGTGTGTGTGTGTATATATATATATATATATATATATATATATATATATAAAAGCATGCGCCTGTATATGCACCCTTCCTCTCTACATACACGTACTGTCCTATTACAATCAATCAGTATTTATCATAATTGCAATTTACTGAAAATGCAAATTTTTGCCATTTTTTATTAGTCAAAAAAATGTTTGCAAATATGAATAATGTAATTTTAAAGGTTCCATTTTTAATTTGTTTATAATAGGCTGGTGCTAATATCCATATGGAAAACAAAGCCTTTGCTACTCCACTTGATGTGGCTGCCATGTACAACAAAAAAGGTAAGAAAATCGATCAGTAATATAAAGAAAAAATTAATTGAAAAATCTTTAAGGTCTTTAAATGGAAAACTAAAAGACGAATATTGTCCTCATCTTTGTCGCCACATTTATTACAACGTTTCGGCCTTTCACTATCTGTCTATATTTCTGAGATGAGGTATTATGTACACTATTTACATTATTTGGACTATTGTCCTCATCTTTGTCGCCATATTTATTACAACGTTTCGACCGTTGTACACTCCGGCCTTCTTCAGGTGGTTGGGAGTAGATAAATTTGCCTATCATCCAGTTCACACTGCCCCCCAGTCTTTTTGAACAGGAGTAGTGGTTTATCCCTTGTTCTTTGTTTAGGATTGGGTTTCTTGTTCCTTCTAAAATCTTTTCATTCTCTTTCACTCCTAGTAGCCCCTTGCGTCTTAGTGGCATTGTTGCCATTCTTGGGGTGAATTGATTAAAAAAAAAAAAAAAAAAATTCCCTAAAGACTCTACCAAGAATTTTTCTCCTGACTCTCTGGAATCTGGACCTCATCAGAACACCCATTTTCTGGGATCATATCTTTTTTTATCTTTGCTCACTACATCATTTGGCAAACATGGACCTTCATGCCTGCAGAAAAACAGTGTGTCAAAATACATTTTTCCATTTTTATTTTAACTATCCTCCTTTTTTAGCAATGTTTATTGTTTTAAAAACTGATGATTAGAATTGTGATAAAGCCTAAATATATAATGTAAGTGAATTTATACATTTTTTTTTCTTTTTGAGAATTTAGAACAAAAATATTAAACATTATTTATTAGATTATTATTTGCCCATCTTTTTTTATTACCAGTGTCTCCTATTTATTATTAATGTCTATACTTTGCCTACTGATAAAGATCTTAGCAAGAAATCCTTTAATCATCTTTAAGTGCTATTTCTGATCATTTATTTTAGCTTTATTCTATAGAGGCTGATGTTTTCCATCTCTTACTGCTCATATGATCAGCTATACCTGATTTTAGAATTTCTCCAAGGATTACAGCTTCCCAATTTTCTTTAAGTTTTGCCATTGTTCTCTCTCTCTCTCTCTGTCTCCCTCTCTCTCTCTCTCTCTCTCTCCTCTCCCTCTCTCTCTCTCTGTGTCTCCCTCTCTATCTCTCCCTCTGTCTCCCTTCCTCCCTCTCTCTCTCTCCCTTCCTCCCCTCTCTCTCCTCCTCCTCTCTCCCTGTCTCCTCTCTCCACCCTCTCTGCCCCCCCATCTGCCACAACTACACAAAATGTTGTACACAAAATTCTTCCTGTTTTCTGTATAGTTGAACTATTTTTGAATACTGCGCTGATAATGGATCACACATTCTCTGGATCTTTCTTGACATACCTCTGATGCAGGATGTCAGTTTTTTGAGAACATTTGCATAAATTTAAAAAAGGACATATCACCCATGCATGAAAAGCTTTATTTGAAAACAAACTGACACAAATAGAATCTTTTTATCACACCTACTTTTTTTTTTTTAAATCATTTCACCCCAAGCAAGTCAAAGAACATTAAGGAGTGAGAACAATAAAAGAAGAGATTTTAAGAAAACAGAAGATAATGATTGACATTGCATTTAAACAAGCAAGAAGCCAGAATAGTTCCACAAGTGAAAAGTGTGAAAAAAGAAACCGTTAGCATAGAAATTACAGTTACATCTCACAATTATGACCGCAAAATGATGAGATCTTGCTGCCAATCTAGTAATGTGCTTAAATTTATGAAGTCTAGGTACCATAGGGGAAAGTTCATCAGAACATTTACCATGAAAGTATTTCTAGAAAAGGAATAGGGAAACTACATTACAGCAGTGAGAAAGTGACTGAAGCCGCGATGCTAGGTCAGGACCAATAACATTGCAGATTCTTCTTTGGATTTTATCAAGTATCACTAACTATATGGCAGGAGCACCAGACCAGATGTAGCAGCAATATTCTAAGCATGGATTAATGGTATAATTCTAAATATGTAAAATAAATTCTGGCAAGAACAGTTGTCTAGCATGACATAATGAATCAACACTACTAAGCAGATCCCAAGCAATTGATTCAATATAATCTTTCCATTTCATGTCAATGAAAAATGTTAACCTGAGAAGGCACGACGAGTTCAGCAAATCCATCATTAGCATCAATGGCTACTTTGATACAGGGTCAGAAGCGTTGACATGTCTGCATCAGATGATGTTTATTAATTTTGAACATAGTTCTAGTTATGGGGAACTGGAGATATTTTATGGTGTTATGGGATTGTTGACCGTCCTCTCTCAAAATTATTCCCATATGTAGTATTCCATTTGAATTGAGGTTTGGTGAGCTAGGAAGCTGTGTATTTGGAAGAACAGGATCATGGAGATTGTCATGCATCTATGTTTGGGTTGTTTTAGCTTTATGTGATGCTGCAGTGTCTAATTGGATAATGTAGGGTCTTCCATTGCATACACTGTCTTTCCAGCGGCTCCTGTTAGACAGTAGCATTGACTCTTAAACCCTGACAAGAGAAGTGAGGAAGCATAACATATTCCCCATTGCTGACAACTCCCAGAACAATCACAGTTGCTAGGAACCCTTGGGATCTCAGTTGGGTTTCTGTATAACTATCTGTCATTTCTTTTGGTTTACCTTTTGATCCTGATTAAAGTTTTGTCACTGGAGTAAAACCAAAGCATTCCTGTTGGTGTTATAGGTTGTTTAGTAAGTGCTTTGAATGACTCAAATGATTCTCCCTTGTCTCTTGAAACAAACTGATCTCTCTACATCACATACAACTTGACTGTATCATCAAAACACTCTGATGCTGTTGGCTGTTGAAGAAAGTTGTAAACAAAGTATAGTGCTGCCCTCATCGCCCCTTGCTAATGGCAGCTGATTTAAAAAAAAAAAATCCCTGGACTATGTGAATTACTGGACTGCATGCCCAGTGAAAGAGGTCAGACTGTACATCCATCCAAATCAAAATATTAGATCTGTGCAAAAGTTTCTAGAATTTATTTTATTAAAACAAAAAGAAAAAGTTTTCTACTATGTATTTTTCAAAAGGTTACGCGAATCTATTACGCACGAACATACAAAAATACAAATCACATATAATGCCAAGCGTTTATTGGTTAATTAATCACCACTACGTTATTATAGACAATTTACAAATCGCAGCAATGCGACAATTTTGTAATTGCTCTATTTTAAAGTGGTCAATTTTGTGCACTTTTGGGAGAAACGGATCACGGGAGCTTTCTTAAGTCTCCCCAAAGCTTGCTCGCTGATTGAGCAATGCCAACCAATCAAATTGTCTGCACGTGAAGAATAATTCTCCCCACGCAGTGATTTGGAACCTACAGTCGCTTATAAAAGCTAAGGTCTTTTTCATCTCGTTAGTGAGAATTCCAACTGCCAAACAAATCCATGACAGTTGAAACCATGCACCAACTTTCTCACTCACACACACCACTCACATGTTGAACATACCTTGTACACAATCACATAAACTCTTCTTACACAGCAATATCTTTCAAGAACAATCATTACAAGAGACTCTCATGAACATTCTTCCAGTGAACTTTGGAACACTAAAATAACAGGCAAAGAGAGACAACTCCTTGTTACTTCAACCTTTTCTTACTTAAATGCATGCCTCCCTTCACATTATTGTTTGCTACTGTACATCTTGTTGAATACATATTTTATGTGTAATAATGTCTTTTGCTTATCCTTTTCTGCATGATCCCCGTTTCCTAATCTAAAGTCTGCTACAAAGTCACTGGAAAATTTTGTACATATCTAACAGACTGTATGTAAATTTTTAAATATTAGAAAAGCTTTTTAAAAAAAATAAGAAAAACCATGTAACCACTTAATTTAGTACAATTCTATCCAAAATATTAAAATATCTGTAATTTTTCTAATTCCAAACATACTAAAATTAAAATCTGATTTATTCCCACCTTTGCTAACTAATCATAACAAAAATGGGGCAGTGATTTTAGCAACCACATACCTTTGAATTTCACATAGATGGGCTGTGATGATTATTCTTTTTTGGAGAAAAATCTACTCAGGACATTCTTATTCCAACTTTTATTGAATGTTCAAGAAATTTCCTTCCATCCCTTTATTTAGGTTGCCAGCATTCTAAGACAAAGAGTATGAATATTTAATGAGGAGAGATTGGAATAAGTATGTCCCAAGTGGGTTTTTCTTTAAGCAAAGAATAATCATCTTGGTCCATTAATTTGAAACTGGAAGCTTGGTATAAACCTTGATTAATATTTCTTCTTTTTTTTCTTTATTAGATGCCGTCTCTACTCTTCTTGATCACGACAAAGAGGGTCTTAGAAACAATAGTCTAGCCATAGTCGAAGCTTCTATCCGAGGTTATGCACCAATTGTGGAAATGCTGCTCAAATATGGCATCAGTCCAAATACAGTGAACACGTTAAAACAGACTGCACCTTTACATGAAGCTATTCGATTCTTCAGGTAATGTTTTGTTTTTTCACTCCCAGATTTTGTTTCTCTCTGCATAAAAAAAAAAACTATCTTTCTGTTAATTAAGAAAAGTACAAGTGGTTTTTTAATTTTAGGGCACTTTGTCAACTGTAATAAGTGGTAGTGAAAGAAATAATCAGTTACCTCGAAAAAGAAGAGTTTGTGTTTTGTGTATGATCTGTCAAAGAAAAATTACCAAAAAAATCTACTTTAAGGACTAGAATCTATGCTAATGTTCTTCCCTCCCCTGAATGACGTGACCAATCAGAAAGATCACTTCATGAACAAAAGCCATTATTCTTCGGTTATAAAGGCAGGAGATTTTCTGAGCTCGGGAGACGAACATGTGGTTAGAAGTGAAGGTTGGATGTGTGACCCCATTTTGTCGTTCCTACGCTGCTTGTTGGACTGTTACGACGGGCTATCATTTGAACTGTGATTTGGCTACAAGTGTTGTGGTCGAGAGACAGAAGAAATCTATTGCAGACGTTTGTTGCTACTATAAGTTGACAGTCTTTTTTGTTTTATTTTCTTTACAACAACAATAAGCAAAAAAAAAAAATTGTATATACTCAAGAGGTCGCACTTTTTTTTTTTCACCAAAATTTCGATAAAAATCAAGTGCAACCTATCCACTCGACATCATAGAGAATCTGAAATAGGCTGTGCTGTATCAGTATTCCAGGCGAGCACCTTAGGACTGAGTATAAGCAAGGGAGAAAATTAATTTGTCTCGACATTTTGATTTTACACGATCACCTGTTCCAACAGTATCTCGTCACATATTGAATAAAAGAACTTGATAATCATGGCTCATATTTAGCATTTATTATTATTATCGTTATTGATTAACGACAAAAGACTATCATTTTCAAATGATTTTAGCACTGAAGTGATTACAAGTATCCAAATTTTTGTCTAAAAAGAGCAGCCAAGCACTTGACAATACAAATGAAAAGAATGTTTGACAATGATGAGGATGAAGAAGAATTTTTGGGTTTCAATCCTGAAGTATAATAACAATATCTAAATGAATAAATACTTATGTTTTAATATATGTAAGCAAATATTTTTAAATAAATATTTAACAAATATTAGTTATATTTACGTTTAAAAAGCGCCATGTAACTAACTAGATTATAGTGCAGCCTATCTGTGAGTCAACTGCAAATACCCACTTTGACAACCCCAAATTAAGGGTGCAACTTATCTACAAGTATATACAGTAATAAATTAGGTTCATTTTTGGAACTGAATGTTTTTCACAGATATCAGTATTCTAAATAATACTGAATAAAAATAAAAAAATCTATAGTTTGTTACGCAGTTGTTTTGATAGAATCAGTACAAAATGATTTTTATAAGCAGGCCATAATGAAACCAATAAAACAATTATTTTGTTTGCTGATCGTAAGTAATTTTGAAATTGGTATCAACCAAATTTTCTTTTTCATTGTCTGATTCTTTTTCTCTATCACTTTCATCATTGAAATTCTACAATTGCTCAACAGATTACCACTTTACTGTCCTTTAAATGGCAATCTGTTGAGACCATCAATAAACTTGTACGCCATTAATAAAATGAATTTACTATTCCGATGAAAATTATTTGGTATATTTGTAGCAATAACTTCATTTTTATTTATTCATTGATTAGTCCATCTTATTAAAAAAAAATCATATGATCCATCCAATCGTTATCATAATTGCGTTAGAAAAGAGGCAGTGTTTAGTTCAAACTAAAATTGATACATAATTGTGTCAGGAGACATGTTGCCCACATTTCTTATTTGAAGCTCGTTTTAATTTTTTCTGAATTCCTTGGATGAGGAGTTATCATTATTTACACTATTTATATTCAGACTATTATCCTCATCTTTGTTGTTGCTATCATAATGTTCCAGCCATTGTTCTCTCCAGCCTTCCTCAATCTGGGTAACCTACAGGAAATTCTGAACTTAACACTTTATTTAATTTATGAGGGTAGACTGTTCTCTTGTCTAGGGATATTATCTAGTTTTTATTTTATTTATTGCTTGCCCATTTACACTGAGCGCAAGTATACACTGTCCAACCCAGGGATTGAACTCGCAACCACTGTCACCAAATTCACAAACCAATGCTTTCATCAACTAGGCCATTATCCCAAGTTACTTCTTTCTTTTATTCATTAACTATTTGCATTTACAAATAATTAAAAAAAAATTGCTGTAATGTTGAAATATTGAAAGTTCTTCAAGGTTCATGTGATTTTAGAATGTTAATTACTGCCATTATTGCAAAAGCATTAAGAAAATTTCTTTTAACATAACTTGTCAGATTTTTTGACATTAAGAATTATCATTATATACTTTCTTTCATTTGAACAGGCTCGTAATGATTATTATTATTATTATTATGCTCACAACATTATTGCTGATGTACTCTCCAGCCTTCTTAGGTGTCTGTCTTACTCAGTAGTAATCTTCTTGAGTTTTGAACAAAACTGTTCATTCTCACAGGATTCACATTCTGCTTTCCATGCTTAGAGTACATCTCATAACAGTAAATAATTGCCAGTCTATCTTTTATTGCTTGCCAATTTTTTTTCTATTGAAACACGATGTATGATTTTCAGCACTACAAAGCTCAAGGATTGAACTCACTGATAACCAGATATATTTTAACCAACACTTTAATCCAATAGGCTATGTGCCTCTTGAACAATTCAGTGTCATCATTTTGGAGGCTTAAATCTAAACGTGGTGGAATTTTTGAGTGACCTTTCTTTCTTGATCAGAGGCTCTCAAATGTTGTTCATATCTGTTATGTCTACTGAGCTTCAGTCATCTTCTTTACTAATATTGTTTTCTATTATTATCGTCCTAGCAAGCCCAATTGAAGATGCTCACCTTAGCAAGCCCAGTTGAACATGCTTTCCCTATTGAGCCCAGTTGAACATGCTTTCCCTATTGAGCCCAGTTGAACATGCTTTCCCTAGCGTGCCCAGATGAACATGCTTTCCCTAGCGTGCCCAGATGAACATGCTTTCCCTAGCGTGCCCAGATGAACATGCTCGTCCTAGCGAGCCCAGATGAACATGCTCGTCCTAGCGAGCCGAGTTGAACATGCTCATCCTAGCGAGCCCAGATGAGAATTCCTGCCCTAATCACCAAATATTTACAAAGTTGAACTGACAGTTAAAAATTGTTTAGAAATATGATAGTCTTCAGATATTAACATTGTTGCAACCAAATTATTTCAGCCTTTCTCCATATTAAGAAAAAACATGTACCATCTGTGTTTGAATTTAGATCTAGCAAAATATTTTATCAGAATTGTTTATATTTCGTGCCTAGCTGATGCCTCCTAATAAAGCTGCTATGTATAATTGCTTTCAATCTAACATTATTCTTAAAATGGAAGCTTGTAACTAAAAACATCAGCCATATTGACAGAAAAATTTATCAAATAAATAATTAAATTCCTTCCCAATGAAAATTTAACAAATTTTTTAGTACAATAAGAAAATAAATGTTTAAGTAGTGTTGTGTTATTTAATGCTTTATTGTGTAACATTATTAAATAATAATATACATGCATAAGGAAGAGGTTTTGCTCATTTTGACATTGTTTTAAATCTGCAATTGCTGTAATCTGTAATATATTTCTATAAGTGTCTAGAAACAAATATTTCTGGATACTAGTTCACACAGGTTTCTAAAGATTCTAAAATTAATACAGTCAGTTTTTTATGCTTTTATCAGTTGTTTTAAACAGATGCTAACAATCTTGATTGACCCAAGAATGTTGATTCTATGTGAATTGTGGTTTCCAAAAAATTTAAAAAATAATTATATTTCCTTTTTCAAAATTTGTTAAAATGAAGATAGTATTAAAAATGGCATTTTATTCCCATAATTCTTTTTTTTTTTCTATGTACCAAGACATAGGTGATCATGGCTCCCCACAATTTCCAATCCTTTGTAGCTCTTAATCATTTGCACAAACTAGGAATTTCTTGAAACAAGAAGGCTAACAGGCCAAATAGTTAGAAGGGTCAGATGTTTAAGCAGAGTTCTTAAAAACTGAAACAACAGACGATGACTTGCAGGAGGCAGTGAGGCAATTATTACACATTTTAGAGAGAGAACAGAAGCCAGTTTGGGAGTACATTTCTTAATGACTATTACAGAGATACCATCGGGTCCACATTTGCCATATTCACCTTCAAAAGCTGTCTCTATTTCTGAGATGAGGAATTGTAACTATTTACACTATTTACATTGTTTGGACTGTTGTCCTCATCTTTATTGCCATATTCACCTTCAAAAGCTGTCTCTATTTCTGAGATGAGGTATTGTAACTATTTACACTATTTACATTGTTTGGACTGTTGTCCTCATCTTTATTGCCATATTCACCTTCAAAATCTGTCTCTATTTCTGAGATGAGGTATTGTAACTATTTACACTATTTACATTGTTTGGACTGTTGTCCTCATCTTTATTGCCATATTCACCTTCAAAAGCTGTCACTATTTATGAGATGAGGTATTGTAACTATTTACACTATTTACATTGTTTGGACTGTTGTCCTCATCTTTATTGCCATATTCACCTTCAAAAGCTGTCTCTATTTCTGAGATGAGGTATTGTAACTATTTACATTGTTTGGACTGTTATCCTCATCTTTATTGCCATATTCACCTTCAAAAGCTGTCTCTATTTCTGGAATGAGGTATTTACAGTATTTACATTGTTCGGACTATTGTCCTCATCTTTATTGTCATATTCACCTTCAAAAGCTGTCTCTATTTCTGGGAGGAGGTATTTACAGTATTTACATTGTTCGGACTATTGTCCTCATCTTTATTGTCATATTCACCTTCAAAAGCTGTCTCTATTTCTGACATCAGGTATTATAACTATTTACAGCTTTTACTATTAAATATTAGCAGTTGAATAGATTGTTCATTACTGTCAAACTCTCGGCAGAGAGGAACCTGGGGGAGGCTCTGCTGAAGGGCAAAATTTTGTCTGGGGAGGTAGACAGTTCCCTGAACCCATTTAGGCAGGTTCAAAGGGAATATTTTTGGCCAAACCTATGGGCTCGGAGTACCCACAATAAACCAGCCTTGTGCCACATACATTCGTGTGGGGGGGGAGCTGTTAAATATTAACCGTTGAATAGATTGAATGATGGGTCACCCAACACACAGTCACTAGTTGTATAATACTCTTCTGTTGTACCTACTGTTTAATATATGATATATCTGTAACACTTGTTATTTCTTTAACCATTTACTTGGTCACAACAATAATGATTATTCCTCATCCCAGAAATTCAGACAGAAATTACATTTGTATTTCTCTTCATCTTTTTTGTTTTTTAAATTTCAACTCCCAAGTTGCTATTCTAAGACTGTTAAGTATTATATACTGAAAGGTGATGTCACAATATATGACAGGCTTTTAAGTATAGAAGACATGAATCCAAATCCTGTTTGAGATTTTTCTTTATTCTCAATTGAAGCTACTTACTTTAAAACCTGACCTGATATTTGTTGTAAAAAATAAGATCGAGGATTTCTGTGTGGCATAATGGTTATTGGTGCAGAAAATAGAATTGGTGAGTCAAGTACAAGTTCCAGTCTAATCTGTTGTGTTCCCTTTGCATTAATGCCTTTGAGAAAAGTACAACTCCATCTCTTCTCCCTTCTGATATGAGAAAAATATCAAGGTAAACTGTGCCCTCTAGTGTTGTATCAGCCAGTCAAGAAGGATAGATCTAAATTGATAAGGTCTCCAGCAACTGTGGTCTTTCCCTAGAAGTTATGACAAATTCACATATAATAAAAGAAAGGAATCTTTCTTGAGCCAGGATCACCCACATCCTGAAGAGACATGACACTTAAAAATGGAAGAGGCTATTTTGCCAGTAAATATTTTTATTTTTTGTGATGACAGGTGAAGTTAAAAATAACAACGCACGGATTTAGCATAGTTTATTTATTTTCACCATCAATTGTTAAGACAATTTAAAATCTTTTCCACCATCAATTGTTAAAACACAAGTTAAAATCATTTATTTATCATGAATTATTAAAATAAATATGGGAGTCTCTGAATATTTTAAGCACTTCAGGCATAACAGCCTCTGTAAATCCAGAAGTTGCCTTTGAGCATAGTTCTCTTGCCAATACACTTGGTGTACCCACTGCAGACAACAGTCACAGACCACAGAATCTATGTTGTTCAAGTCCTGTCTACACAGCTCACACCACTGTACTGACAATTTCAAGGCTCCATAAACATTTTGAACAGTTTTACAACTATCTGGATCAAAATAGCTGTGGATCTTCTGGATTGACACATTTTCATCCAGACATGCTGTTGGTATTATTTCCAATGCCAAGTTCCATGGCTATATTGAATAAATATTGTTTTATGAATAATATATATATATATATATATATATATATATATATATATATGAAAATATATAGAAAATAGGAAGGAACTGGTTAGGTAAATAATCCAAAGTCCCTTAGTATTTTAGTTATTATTTTTAAAAAATAGTGCTCGATACAAAAGTAGAGCATAAATATAATTATTTATTTAAAAATATGATTCCAAATCGCTACATAAGAGGTCTCATGTTTCAAAACAAGAGCCGAAAACTTCAATATAATCCTTTAAATTTAATTGAGTTTAAATTAAAATGGGCTCCGTTCCATCTTCATGTATATATTTATTTCTGAGATGAGGTATTATGTACACTATTTATATTATTCAGACTATTGTTCTCATTTTTGTTGCCATGTTTATCACAACGTTACAGCCTCAAGGACACATGGCACAGTGGATAAAGGCGTTAGTTAGATCCAGTGACAGGACCCAAAGAGTGTGAGTTCAATACTTGTTTAAGGCGGTAGAGAACTTGGAGAAGGGAATTAACAGGAGATAACCGACATCCATTAGACATGGCATGTGGAACTAGAACAGTCTACCCCAGTAAGTGAAATAAAGGGTTCAGTTCAACATTCCAACCACCTGAAGAAGGCCAGAGTGTACAACGGCCGAAATGTTGTGATAAATATGGTAACAATGATGAGGGCAATAGTCCAAATAATGTAAATAGTGTGTATATATATATATATATATATATATATTTTCTTAGTTCTAAAACACTATTTATATTTACCAGCAATATATCCTTGGTGTCTATTTTACCAGGTCTATTCATTTAAAGAAAGAGAATTAGAAAATGTTTGCCAAAAATCAATAATTCTGTTAGATTTTTTAGTCAGAATACTTAAAAAAAATTTTAAAGACAGAGTAGACAAATGGTATGTTAATTGTCTTACCTTTATTCTTTTTCTTTGCATTTAAAATAATTATTAAATACATTTTCTTAACTCGTAGTCAGCATCATAAGATATTATCTCATGCCAATGAGTTTATTAACAGTAAGGCTTTTAGTATGAAAACAATGTTAAGTACTTCAGATGAAGCTATAAATCAACTCAAAAAAACTAATTCTATTTAAATTTGAATAAGCTACATTGACTACCAACCACAAGCTAACTCTGTGGTTGGTAGTTTTAGTTATGACACTGATTACAAATCATCTCATGCCAACTATGACTTATCTTGTGTTTAGCATTATCTGATACATTTTTGAAGTGATACTTTTAGTGTGAAAACAATGTCAAGACTTCACTTGAAACTATAAATCAACTCTTAAAAATTCTTTATTGCCTATGTTGGCTATTGTTAAGTTAGCGTTTGAAGTCAGATTTCGTGATTGACCTCTGGCAATCAATTTATTAAACTAAAGGCTTGGAAAGAGACAAAGCAAGATTACAGTGGATTTGAAAAGTTTAATTTTCTGGAAGACTGTTTTAAGACAAAAGATTTTATTTATTTCAACCAATATTAACACTGGTTTAATGAATGCTGAATTGATGGATTTTGTTTTAACTGCATATCAACACCTCTATGGGTTATTTAATGCCAAAATCTAAATAATTTGAAAGTAATTTTTTTTTTATTTTTGAAGACAATAGGTTTAGTAATTGAATATATAACTCTGGGATGGCAGCTTTTATTATGATACCAATACCAAGTTTATTAACAGTGATATTTTTAGTGTGAAAACAATGTTAAGACTTCACTTGAAACTATAAATTAACTCATAATTTTTTTTTTATTGCCTAAGTTGGCTATTATAAAGTTGATGTTTGAAGTTAGATTTTGTAATTAACCTCTAGAAATCAACGTGTTAATATAAGGACAACAAATAAGTGTTTCCAATATATTATGGATGCAAGTTAACTTAATTGGTCTGTATTTTTAATAATTATTTCTATAATAATTACATAGGTTTTTCAAAGCAAAACAATTCTTGTTTTTGTTTTTTTTTTAAATGTTTCTTTTTATTTTCAATTTCTTTTTAAGGCTTCAAGTAGCTGAAAGGTTGCTACAATATGGAGCTGAAACTGATGTTGTCAATGTTGCAGGAGAAGTAAGTAATCATGATTTTGATTGGGTGTTATTGGCATTGTTTTTAGAGCAACATTTTAATACTCATACTAATAGCATTTTTAATTTATATTCCTTATAAGGAAACAACACGTATTGCTATTAATATTCATATCTCAAAAATATTTGCCTTAACTCTTAATTATGTATTGTTATCAAACACTTACTATTGTGTAACTGATTCTGGATTACAATCCAACTCTCAACAATTATATTTACACTTTTCTATCAAACTAAATTACCAACAAGTCAAACAGTGAATCAAGATCTTATCATTTATGATTATTATCTTTTATTCTTTTAACCTATTCGCCCCAAGGAAGGCAATGATGCCACTAAGATGCAAGGAGCTACTGGGTGTGAAAGAAAATGAAAAAAACTTTAAAAGGAACCAGAAACCAAATCCTAAACACGAAACAATTTATAAACCTCTATTCCTGTTCAAAAGAAAGACCGGGGAAGTGCAAACCAAGCGATAAGCAAACCTATCTACTCCTGTTATTATTATTATTATTATTATTATTGTTTTCTTTCATTTCTGTTGTATATTCATTTCCTTCTGGGTCCCAACCAGTGACCTAAGGTTACAAATGGCATCATGACATTTTTACTGAGCATTTTTGTAAAAAAAAAAAAAAAAATTTCAATATCAAGTGCCTTATGTTTATTTATTTTGTCATATTCTTTAATAGTTATATTATTACCTGATGTCACTTCCATATCTATGGAAAGGGAATTTTTGTTTGTTTGTCTTTAATCATTGTGTCTGATCTATAAGCTTTTAGATGTCTGTCAGTATGAAGAACAAAGTCCTAAAGAATATTGACTTCATAGTCTTTTGTAAGTGGATCATGGTGATATTCATACCATTTTTCAGAATGTGGCATACTTTAATATGAATATTATTCCATTGAATATACTGCCCAATGTTATACCGTTTTTTTTTTTGTTTTTTTTGTAATCCTCCTGTGTCAGAATTGGTATCACCATTATTATTATTAATAATAATTAGTAACAACAATAACAATAATAATGTCTTTTTCTTTGATTTTTATTGTATACTCATTTATTTCTGGGTCCCAACCAGTGACCTAAGGTCAGAAATGACCATGACATTTTCCACTGAACATTTTTGTGAGCTGCACTTTTGAGAACAATCTTTTTTTTTTTTATTTATTTAAGGAATGGGCTACCATGGATCCCTTTAATAAGTCTATCAGGATCTTTTCCAATCAAACCCAGGGTCCCAACTTCAACTGAAATTATTGATGCCTTCATGTGTCATATATTTTAGATTTCTACTTCAAGATTGCATATTTCGATAGTTTTTTTTTTTTTTTTTTTGATCTTCAAAGATACAATACAGTCTGCAGGAATTGTCATGTCAATAAGCACCTTCTGTTTTTATGGTCTTTGATCACGATGTCTGGGTGATTAGCTTTGATTGTTCTGTCTCTGTGTATTGTAAAGTCACATAAAATTGTTACAGGTCCTGTGTCTTTAACCAGGTCTGGGTGGTGTTCATACCAACTTCTTACAGTATCCTTCCCATAAAACTTGCACATTTTCCAGTGCAGTTATTGTTCCACCCTGTCATGCCAAGCTTTATATTTGGTGGGTGCCAATACCATGCAGCATGATACAAGACGGTCAATTGTTTCTGAATATTCACCACAGAATCTGCATTTGGTGTCAACATAATTTTTTGGTATGTTTGCAAGATAATTTTTAGTTAGCAAACATTAGTCCTGTGCAGTAATGAGCCTGGTCAGTACATAGAGGAGTGACCACTTGGGAATACCAGGTGCTGTAAGCTTGTATATGTGGGTGGTTTAATGGATAATGGCTCAGAATCGTTAATTGGAGAACTGAGTTTCAATTCCATTTGGGTTTGCTTTATTCATTTACGCACAAATACCATTGTGAACGGTATGAATCAACCTCTTCTCTCTCCACCAACTATGTTTAATTAGTAAGATTTGTAATTATTAAACTATTATTGTTTTCAAAAATAAAATAAAAATTGCATACAAAATATTTAAATTTTGGCATTAAATAAACGATAGAGGTACTGATATGCTGCTAAACAAAAACAATCAACTAACCTCTGCTGCAAGAATATTACTGTTTTTTTGTTCTACAAATATAAAAAAAATCACATAAGTATCAATACAAAAACAGAAAATGACTTCTGAAGCATGGTCCATATAATGCTAGAAAATCAGGTTACTATTTTATGTGATTCCATAAAAGTTATTTTTAGTTAAGAAAGGTGTTATATTCCATGCTAATAGGAATATATACTTGAAAAACAAGGTGCATAAAATAAGTAAAGGTTTATTGTAAGAAACTGGTACAATAAGAATAAAGGTAACAGTTATGCACAAGGTCGTCGCAAGTCAATCCAGTTGTGAGTGCTATTATTGGAGGGTCGTTAGTTCTCGCGTAAGTCTGAATTGTACTCAACAGATCCCTGTTAGTGTATTTAGCTACTGCTCCATGCAGTCGTATGTGGCACAAGGCCAAATTTAATGTGGGGTTTTTGAGCCCATAGACTGGGCCAAAAAATCCCTGTAGAACCTGCATAAACGGAATCAGGTTGGTCTACCTCCCTGAACAAGACTCTGCCCTTCGGCATAGCCTCATCCAGGTTCCTCTCTGCCCGGAGACAGAGAGTTCGACCCTATAGCTGGAACAGATTGCAGCTAATATATTTAACAGCCCCCCGCACGAGGGTCATATGTGGCACAAAGCCGAGTTTATTGTGGGTTCTCCGAGCCCATAGGCTTGGCCAAAAATATTCCCTTTGAACCCATATAAACAGGTTCAGGGTCGGTCTACCTCCCTGAAGACAGGGAATATATAGTGGGAACAGATCACAGCTAGTATATTTAGCCACCCCCACCACGAGGGCTGCATGTGGCACAAAGACGGTTTAATGTGGGTTTTCCGAGCCTGTAGGCTCAGTCCAAAATATTCCCTTTCAAACCCGTATAAAGGGGCAGTCTACCTCCCCAAACAAGACTCTGCCCAAAGGCTGAGAGTTTGACTGTCTAGCTGGAACAGATCACAGCTAGTATATTTAGCTACCTCCCCACCCACGAGGGTTGCATGTGGCACAAGGCCGGTTTAACGTGGGTTCTCCAAGCCCATAGGCTTGGCCAAAAATATTCACTTTTTGAACCCGTATAAACAGGTTCAGGGGCAGTCTACCTCCCCGAACGAGACTCTACCCTTCAGCAGAGCCTCGTCCGAGTTCCTCTCTGCCCGAAGGCAGAGAGTTTGACTGTTTAGCTGGAACAGGTTGCAGCTAGTCTCTGTAGTCCGTTGACTTACAGATACTTATAGGTTGTTACTACCTATAGTGTAGTCACTCATGGCGGTGACAGGTTATTCCATTAAATCAAAAGGCAATGATTGTATGTTACTGAGAATATTCTGATGGTGATTTTTCAGACTCCACAGAAAATGGTTCAAGATCAGCCAAAGGACAGACCAAATGAATTCCAGCGACTGTTTGATGGTAAGTCTATTTAGATTCATCAGTTATGAGTTTGGTTAATTAGATTAGGATATCAAAAAAATATGGTAAACTTAAAATGACAAATAAACTCAAAATTCCTTTTATAATTAGGATTCCTCAATGAATTTCTAGTGAATTTTTCTAGTGAGTTGTTTTTGCATAAATGTCATGCAGTACTTATTTATTATTGGTGCTTTTCTTACCCTCCCTCCAACCTGCAGAATGCATGCTTTTCTCAATGTCGGTCAGACATGGGCATTTAACAAACATTAATTTGGTATGTTGGCTGGGAGTTTGAATTCAGTATTGTTCTTCTCATATACTGTTTGCCCTATCAAAGGTAAAGAGTTAAGTTTGCCCAACTATTTTGCCTGCTGCTGTTCTTTTGTATATCTACTTAATGAATACATTGTTAGCTTTAATATCTACTTCAATATGAGGTCCGAAACATTGACATGCCCAAATCGGATCTTTATCTATTTTTGACATTGTGCTAGTTATGGGACTTTAGAGATTTTATAGTGTTATAGGGCTGTTGATTGACCACCTTCTCAACTGCATCCCATATGTAGTAGTTTGATGAATTCAGGTCTGGAGAGCAAGGAGGCTGTTTGGGGTAACATGATCATGGAGAGTATAACTCGTCTATTCTTGAATCGTCTTGGCCTTAGGAAACGGCACAGTCTTGTTGATAGATATATGGACTTCCTTTACCGATTCTCTATTCAAAGCTTCACACCCATCTCAAACACTTCCAGCATTGACCCTTAAGCCTTGAGGAAAAAAGTGAGAAGGTGAGACATCTTGTTGCTCACAACTCTGGCAACCATCACAGTTGCCAAAAACTTTGTGTGCATAATCAGTGAAACGTCCTCACTGTCTCTGCATAACCATTTGTTATTCCTTCAGTATACCTTTTGGTCCTGGTTAAAGTTTTTCTCAACAAAGAAAAAACAAATCATTCCAGGCTCATGATGCTTTAACTTGCTCAAGAAGTGCTTTTGTGCAGATCAGACAGTTATCTTTTGTCTTTACAAAGATAAATTGATCCCTCTGCATCACATATGACTTGTATCAAAGGTCCTCATGCACAATTCTTCTGATAGAGTGCCTTGAGACCTTGAACTTGTTAACACTGGTGTTGACTTTCTAGAGTTCTTATCAATAATTTCTGGTACCTTCCATACAAATTTGGGTGTTCTGATGGTATTAGGACCCTTAGTAGATGCTTTAATTTGGCTACTGCTGTGGAATACACATCAGCAACTTCCAGCTCTTTTCAAACTTTGACAACAAATGACCATGCAACTTCTAGAAAATGAACAATCTCTAAATCACTATTTTTTGCTGTTATCACCAGCAATGGCGAATATATACATGGAATACTTTGAAGAAATGCCATTAGAATCTATATCTCTAGAGCCAACTCTATGGTTAAGGTATGTAGATGACACCTTCATACTATGTCCACACCAGGAAGATGTTCAGGTTCTACTGGACCTTTAAAGCAACGGTAAAAGCACACCTTTTCATTTCCTTAGTTGATGTTTGCAATCATTTATTAAAGAAGAAATGACAACCAGAACAAGTTAGAAAAAATAGTCAGAGATATTAAAAGACGTTCTCAAAGAACTAAGTAATCTTTTTATATATAAGAAGTGAGGATCTGTCTATATTTCTGAGATGAGGTGTCATGTACACTATTTACATTATTCAGACTATTGTCCTCATCTTTGTCACCATATTTATTACAATGTTTTGGCCTTTCAGTATCTGTCTATATTTCTGAAATGAGGCGTTATGTACACTATTTACATTATTCGGACTATTATCCTCATCTTTGTCACCATATTTATTACAACGTTTCGGCTGTTGTATGCTCTACCCTTTTTTAGGTGATTGGAATGTCGAACTGAACCCTTTATTTAGCTCGCTGGGGTAGACTGTTCTAGTTCCACGTGCCATGTCTAACAGATGTCAGTTATCTCCTGTTAATTCCCCTCTCCAAGTTCTCCACCGCCTTAACCTGGTATTGAACTGAGATAACAGCCAGGATTTTGAATACTGATTTTCAAGAAAAGGTTGATATAATGAAATCTTTCTGTCCCCATTTGGCTGTGTAGTATATTAAGTCTTAGTAAATATATATCATATTTATTTATTTATTTATTTTTTTTTTTTCAGAATACAGTACGGGTGAGTTACGCAGAGCTCGTGTACAATTCAATAGCAGTTTTGATGAGAGAAGAAATAAGTCATATATTAAAAGTAAGTATTTATATAATTAATAATTATTTTTCATGGAATTTTATTGATTATTGGATGCCAAACATCACTGTTTATTATTTATCCTTGTGGGTGGGGGCAGTGAGTTGAATAAGTACAGTACTTTGATTCTCCAAATGTGAAGAGAAAAATTGAAATCATTCAAACATCTTTCAATTATCTGAACAAAACCCAATCTAATATTTCATTGCAGACAAGCTTTTTGACAATTGAGAAAACTATATTCAACTTTTAATAAAAACTGATAAATGTCTGAGTTAGTTACACTTTCACCCAGGAGCTACCCTTACAAATAAATTCAATTTCAGGAGTTAGTGGCAGAAAAATTTGGGCCAGCTGGAAACAGACAAAAATCAGTTGGACCAAACCTTGAACAAAACATTTGAAAATGTTATTTTCTGATGTTAAATTTCTTTCAGAAAATGACTTTTTTTCTACATTCTTTTTTGATAATTTGGGTATTTAGTTTTCCGCAATTTTGAAATTATAGGAACATATTTTTTGAATCCCTTTCCCAAGGTGTCCATATAATCCAGGGAGTATTGTAGTTTAAAATTTCCAAACATGTCTCATTTAATAAGAAGAGAAAATTGACCTTTTGTTTTCTGTTATTTTCAGCACTGGAAATATATATTTTGTGCCATTAACCTATTTCTTGCCACAGATAATAGTGACTTCTTATTTTAATTACTGTATTTTCCAGCTTACAAGATGCACTTTTTTCCTATAAAAAAAAACAAAAAAAACTGTAAAATATGTGTCTTCCAAGACAAATGTAAGCCAATGCCTAGACTCCAGTAAGCTTGGACGGTCACCTAATTGGTTTGACAGATAAGGACATGGATTTGTATGTTGAGTCAATAAACTATAATGTTAGCTATCTAATTCAACCTTTCATATGATGTAGCACCAGTACTTAACTGTTACAAGTATTTCCAAGATGATAAACCTTCCTGGAGCCGAGCCACAAGCTTAAACTTTCTGCTCTTGACTAGTATGTCATTGTCATACAAACAAAATCAGATGTGTGATTAATGTAAACAATACATGGCGCTAGTATGTGAGGGACACACAGTGAATGTGTTGTATGAGAATGACATTTTTTTTTCTTAGAAATTTCTTTCCAATATTAGGGTGTGTCTTCCAAATCGGAAAATACGGTACATATTTCCAATACTGAGTGTAAACTTTTATAAATTAAATTTTTATAATTTCATAATTCTTTTTATCCCTCTAAACTCAAATCAGGATAACAAAAATCAGAGATGATTTAATTAATACATTGACTGCAGTTTTTATTATGACACTGGCTATAAGTTAACTTGTGCTTGGCATTTTCTGATACATTTTCATCTGCAGGTCCCAATGACAAGTTTATTTATGGTGGTACTTTTAGTGAGAAAACAATGTTAGGACTTCAGTTTAAGCCATAAATCGACTCATAAAAATTTTGTATTGCTTAAGTTGGCTGCTATAATTTCTTAATTCTCTTGTATTTCTTAAAGAAAATACCTAACTCCTGCTGCCATGCTCTATATTTAAAAGAGTCAGCTCAGACCAAGAATGGAGTATTGCTGCTAGAACTGGGCTGGTGCAGCCCAAACCTTACTGTCCGGCCATGACAGCATTCAAATGCATTTAAACAGTTCTGTGGATGATGAATTACCTTCCACCTTGCAACTCCTTTACCCACAGATGAAAAATTGCTAGGTTCTCAGTACTTTATCATAATTATCATGTCAAATGTTCTAACAATTTACATTCCTCAGCCCCACCAGATCAGACCTTCACAGCTAGGACCTGACCTGACCTGACATGTTCACAGTGGCAAATTATCCCTATCCCCATCATGTTTCTTTGGTAAGAAATAAGTTCCACTTAGACAGTTTCTTCTCCATAACTGTTACTCTGTAGAAGAAACTTCCATGAAGATGCTTCTCTGACAGCTACCATTTTGAGCATAGCAAGTCCAGGGTTAACAGATATCTATCCTAGATCCTCATAATATGCAATTCTTACTCCCAATTTTGAACAATCTCGTTCAGTAACCCTATAACATAAGCGGACTTTATCCCTTGTAATAGGTAAAGTAAATTTAAGAAAAAATAAAATCATACATACCTTTCGGCTTTTCTTAGAGGCCATTACATGTCACTGTGGCTCTATCGCTATACCAACAAACCTAGAACATTGGCCCCTGCAGATGTCAGTTGTCTGATCTGCATAACATGTGCATGTCCTGTCTCGATATAATCTGTAAGATACAATCAAATATCCAGACTTCTAACTTCAGGCAACAAAATAAAATCATTTGTGTATAAATTCTATGTTAATTTTATTCTTTATGAAGCATATGCATTCTTTAAGTGTGATGTTGATTTTATTATACAGAGTTTTTTTTTTTTTTTTTTTTTTTTAAATGGAGAAAATTATTATTTGGTTCTAACAATATCCTGTTACTCCCTTACTGCTTCTCATTTCCTCACTGCCTTCCCCTCAATCTTTATCCATTATCCTCCAGGGCGGTGAGTATCACCCACTTTGAGAATCCATGCTCTAAACTATCATCTGTTACTATCATTTGTACACAACCATTTTCTCAGCTCAATAGTTAAAAATAGCTTTAAATCTGTGGTTCCCAACATGAGGTGCACACCCCACAAGGGGGCAATTTTTTTTTTTCGTTGAGAATGAGTTAAGTGATTTTTTTTTTTTTCTAGTGAGACTGTAAGTGTTTGTGAGTTAATACATAGGATGCATATACAATATGCATATATAAAAATATTTGTGTGTATGTATGTACCCATGTAATTATGTATGTATTGTATATAATATATATTTATATTAGTAACACAATATTTTTATAAATATTGTAAAATATTGTAAAATTCTAAAATTAAATGATAATACTATTTGCATATATGCAGTCTCAAGTTCTTAAGTACAGTTAATGGACTTTTAGGTTTCCTCCATTTTTTGAATAAGATTATATATTGTGGTGAAGAGGCATGGTGAAGTAATGGATAGCGGCTCAGATTGAGGAATCAGAGAGCCAAGTTCAAATTCCAGTCAAATCCATTAGATTCACTTATGTGCTAATACCATTGGGAAAGGTATGAATCCTCATCTTCTCCTGCTAGCTATAGGTAAATAGCAGGACAGATCAGGTTCTATAGCCTTGGATGGTAAATGGTCTACCGCAGAAAGAAATGGCAACCTACTGTAGGAAAAAAAATCTGCTTTGTCAGTCATGTATCAAAAGATACATGATCACCTAAGTGTGTACACACATAGCACATAACTGATCATGGTGAAACATCAAGATTTTAGAGATGCTTAGGTGAGGCATGGCCAAAAAACATTGGGAACCACTGCTTTAAATGAATGAATTCTATAAATTTTAAATATTCTTCACTAAACCCTTATAGATACTATTTACATTATTCGAACTATTGTCCTCATCTTTGTTGCCATATTTATTACAACGTTTCAGCTATTGTATGCTCTATCCTTCTTCAGGTGGTTGGAATGTTGAACTGAACTCTTTATTTCACTCATTGGGGTACACTGTCCCATGTTTAATGGATGTTGTCTCCTGTTAATTCCCCTTTTCAAGTTCTCCACTGCCTTAACCGGGTATTGAACTCACACTCTTTGGGTCCTGTCACTGGATCTAGCTAACACCTTTATCCACTGTGCCATGTGTCGTTGAGGACATTCCAACCACCTGAAGAAAGCTGGAGCGTACAACGGCCGAAACATAATAAATATGGTGACAAAGATGAGGACAATAGTCCGAATAATGTAAATAGTGTACATAATACCTCATCACAGAAATATAGACAGATACTAAAGCTTTATAGATTGACACGACAAAATTATAGAGATTTACGAAATAACAAGAACTATATCACTAAACCATTTTTGTTTATCATAGAAGTGTTTAGCATACATAACTAGAAGGAAATAAATGATGATATATTCAAGATGTTGACTCACTACCAATAACAAATGGTTTAGAATGATGGTTCTCAACCTTTTTTACCCTTTTCACCATATGCCCCAATATCATCCCCATCTTTCCAAGATTTTACAATTCAAAAGTTGCATTCCAAATAATAAGCATATATTATTGGAAATCTTCATTCTTTTTCATATTAGTGTATCTTCATTAACATGGATTATATATGGAGTATAATGTGTTGCTTACCTCGTATATTCAGATTATTAACATTCTGGGGTATATTCTGTTGCTAATTTCGTATATACTGTTTAATAACACTGGGGTATAATCTGATGCTGACCGCATACCTTTGGTTTAATAACACACTGGGGTATAATTTGTTGCTGATCACGTATACTCAGTTTATTAACATACTGGGGTATAATGTTTATTTATAAGAATAATTTTATGCTTACCGTTTTCTAAAAATTAATACAATTAAAACTAGCACCATGCAGTATTTATCATTTACCAATTTATGAAGAAATAAATATGAAAATAATTTTTTAATTCATAAATTTATAAATATTTACTAAATTATTAAAATATGTGAACCAATTATAGGGAAGTTCTTATTATTTACCATATTATAAAGTCTGAATCGATTGGCAATAAACAAATAGTGTAAATAAACAATCTAATAAATAGTTTTTTGGAAGGCTACTTTCACTATCCCAATTGATACTTCCGATTTCGGTGTCACATTCTCTGTTAAAACATTTCCTAGATAAGAGGTTCTCAAACTTTTCCACATATGTCAGAATGTCAACCTCACTTTTCAACAATTCAAAAGTTGCATTCCAAATAATAAGCATATATTATTGGAAATCTTCTTTTCCATAGTAGTACATATATATTTACATGGATTATTTTTATAGGCAAGTTTTTCAAATTTAATAGCAATAGAAAATGTTGATGGATTTTTAAACTCGAGTACAACCACAGTAATTTGTTTTAATTCATAATTAATTATTAAATA